CACACTCACTGACGGAACTTGTCACTTAGTCGACTGGACCTTTATTGGTAAACACGGAGAGATAACCAATGGATTCCAATGGATGTAATTTCCACAAAGGTGTTCGATTGGCCCAAACATGAGTTTACGCGTTTTCTCTTATAATTATTAATATATAATTAACTATTATAGTGCATATAGATAAACGATTTGTAAATTACTTTTCAATTTAGTGTCATAGTACCGGTGTAATTGTCTCTACGAGGAGTGTCGCGGGCCCTTGAAGCGTGAACCAATTAGAATTAAATAAACTTGAAATGTACTAGATGAGTTTACCCTGCAGGGAAGATCTGTCGATAGGCAATCGCTGCAATTCTGGTTGTCTTACGGAGGAGTCTCGATCGAGGTCGTACCCCACGGTCGACATGGTTATTGAGTGATGCTCTGTTCGGGAATAAAACGCTACGAGATGAATCACTCACTGTTAAGGGTGCATTCATTGTCCAACGGCGACTCCAAAAATTATAGTCTCTCTTACCTTCAACCGTCTGGCCTTCTAACGGACAGAAGGTCATGGGGTCTCAGTTTAGCCTAAAATGTTACGAGCATTTGCACACCGGGTCATTTTATGCAGCAAATCAGCTGAACTATGAAACTGGCATCATTATCACAAGCTTCGAAAGATCTTAGGGACATTACACAAAGATGAGCACATATCGAAGGCAGGACTCTTACGAATATATATTGCAAATATTCAGTAAATAATAGCCTTCTGTAAGTGAATGACATTTTAAATAAATTACGTTACCCCACTACTGGTGACTGCCATTGATCATGTATCGATATTGACGGCCACTGATTACTATACTGACTGTCGGCCGCACGTCGCTTTCTACCCATGGTCAGGGAGCCAAGTGAAAGAACCTCAGATGGATAATTCCTTGACTCATAAAAGTAGGATGAAGAGAGCGGAGGTTGGAAAGAAAAGATGTTGACTTGTTCGTAGATGATAGCCGTACATGGTGGGCATAAACAATAATACGCTTTTGGCATATGGTTATTCCCTAGCCGCTATACGTCTGAAAACGTCTGAGCCGACCGACGAGTCAACGACTAGTAATTTTTAACGGGTGCTTATTCGAACGAAGGACAGATAAGACATTCGTTTCCGAACAACGGTACCATCACTAATGAGACTTAGACCCTCACTACACACGCAAACTTACGCGGATATACAGAGGGACACACTTGAAAGCGGAACCCATGACCTCTGCCTGCTAGCTCTAACCAAGAAGCCCGCGTATTACCACTATCCGACTGAAAAGATTACGAAGCATTGCAGCCACAGTCGATCCGACAGATGTAGCTGCTGCTGACGCCATCAAAGTCGACAGACGCTGCCTTTTCTATAATACGCCATTGTGCTATAACAAATAATAGTATTTAGCTGGTGTTCGTATTAAACTAAGCCAGTTTACGAAGCAAAAGCACAGGCTGTGGAAACTACACACAGGGAAACGTCATCGTTGGTATATACATACCCTATATATATGTCTTTTTTTATGTACATGTCTTAACTGCTAGTTCCGATCTCTGTCTTCGGCAATATTCCTTCATTTAGAATGATAATTTTGCATTTGTGTGAACGTTCCTTGGGTTCTATCTGAATCGAATAGATCACTGCTCTAGTGCTCATCTACAGTCGTAAATGTACGCTTATTCTCGACACGGCTAGCAACGCACTTTATGCCTTAAGCACCTGCATGAACCGTAGCAGTCACGATCAATTATAACATAAGCTAAATCTATAGGTTTGTGGACACGTTTTAAAATGATCTGCCAAACAGCCGTAGGGCCTTTATAAGTAAACAGAAAGCGCTTCCGAAACTATCGGGTCCGTGCAGGGTGACCGCACTTCGTTAAAATTACCACGAAACAGCGACTATGGGATGTGTTTCCGAAAGTCTGCTTTCAGTTTTAGCCAACACAGTTGACGCACACAGAACGCGCTCGTCGGCCTTTCAAACATGATTGTATAACACTGAACGCTTTCTTTATTTCTCTGTCGCATCATAACAACACATAAAATACGGACGCAGCAAAGGGAACATGTCTCCTTTATCGGCCCCTTGAAAATTTTCTTCGTGAACAACATATACATTTTACACACATATATGTGTATGGCGAAGCATTGGGCGCCTGTGCAAAAGCGAAAGAAGTTTGCTGGTTCGATTGAAAATGGCAGTCGTAACGTTCTACAATCGTGGCTGATCTATCCGGTAGTAAACGGTGGGTAATGCCTGGACCGAAACGATCGCTCACAGAGCCTGTGCTGTTGCGCCCTGCCCCTTTACGTGCCTTGTGAGCGCCACCCTATACAGGCGCTTACTCCATATGGCCTAACCTGGGTCCGCATCTTCTTTTTGTTCACGATCCCGGACTCTTTGTATCGTACCCAGTTCGCGTGTGTTATCGGCCATTAATGATCATAAAAACTATTTCCTTTGTTCGGATAACGTGCTATCTCGACGGGCACAAGGTCGCTGAAATCGCCAGAAGTTCATAAAACTAATCTGTTTATTTGCAACCGCTGCTGTAGCCGCCCGCTGATTTTTGGCTGACTACTTCAGGCTAAGGTACTGTCAATGAGGTATCTGGTCTAGGTCGGTCTCTGTTTCTACCTGAAGATCCTACTTTATTTAGCCAGCAATGCAATAATGATTCAAATGCACGCGTACGTGCGTGCACCAGCAGGCGTGGCGACTGTAGTCGTTTATGTGCGGATTTTTCCTTCCACAAGAACTGCTTCCAAAGAAAATATGAAAGAGTACATGAATACTGGGGAACGAAACGGCAAACATTTACGTACGTACGTACGTACGTACGTATAAATTACCGAACAAGAGTGTGGTATAAGTAACGATCTAGTGGACAGAGGGACGTCGACTGTATTGTAGATTTCAAAAAAATTGCGGTAGTGGCTCTCCCAGCTAGAGCTATGACGGAGAATTATACGGGATCATATTGAACATTGCTTGATTACCTGTGACGCGCTCGAAGGATAGCGCTCGGTTATATTTGGGAAGGGTGAAACTCTGAAACAGGCAATACGTCAAACACGATGTATATACAAAAAAAAAAAAGAAAGATACGCTTCAACTGCAATGAAGTTCACATAAACCATTGTATGTAGTTTTGTAGCCTTGACCAGCCTAGGGATTACTATTATCGGTTCCGTTATAACGTCGTGTTGGCGACACGCCAATAGTCTATGGCGTCTTTACTTTTCTACTTGGTTAACTTCTGTGTTCAAGCATTGTTAATATGATTCGACAATTTTCGAAACGAAAACATATTTTCCTATAGTTTAAGTTACTTAGCAGTCCTACAACACTACTGATTCAAGTTGCATGTAAGATATGATCTCTCCGATAACCGTCGTTAGATGTTACAAAATGGCAGCTTCTCGGTGATTGCTACGATGAATCTATTTGTACACACTGTTGATACATGTCTCTGATAAACCTGATATTAACCTCTAATAAATAATTTTCTGTTTTATACGTCACTGTTCCTGTAGCACAAAAATAGCAATCATAAAAATTCGTGTGAAGAGAGCATTTGTCGTACCATTCGGCCATCCGTTCTGGAATAACTGGAATTACTGATCAGTTCGAACATCGTAGCTTTGAATGCGTTCCTCGTTCGTTCATTGGTCTTCATTGGAAATCTCCACTGCTTCTGTATGCTGTATCATACCGAGTCACTGTATCAAACCTCTGAGTCGGCTTGTAGGCCTTTGGCCTATTATGGCCTAACATTTTGTGCGTAATACCAGGATTGCCCGATCCGACGATACATACGCATTTTGCTGGCGCGCATTGTGCCCCTTCTACGCATGCAAAAAATCACACTGAGTTTGTTGGTGCCTATTTTTTGGAAAAGTGGGCCTATTTCATTCAACTAAAGAAGTAATTAACTCACCTATAGAACTAATTACTTATATTGATAGAGGCAAAGGTAGGCTAAAATTCGTCAGAACAGTTCCGACCCTTTATACAGTAGCTTTGCGCCGTGGAGATTGCAATAGTGAGTGATAAATAGCTCTACGCATCGTTTCTACACAACTTTAGTAATAGTAATCTTTCTGCTGTAACTTATGGTGATCGCTGATAATAATTCGAATATGATTAGTATCAATTTTCTCAATTAAATGAGCAACTAAAAACAACGTACCATACGTCCGCTGTGCGTTTTTTTGTCCTGCTGCTCTGTAGGACCGAACACAGGAAGGCGATTACGAACGACTGATAGTAACTCGCCTTCCATATGTGTACTATGCGTTGGGCTAAACGTAATTAGGTCTGATTTTAACATCTATGCCATCGTTTCAACTCGATTAGTCACTTTGTTCATATAAGGGTAAAATGCAATGGAGAACAAATCGCGTCAACACAGGAACCAAGCAAATAGTGTTTTTTTATTCGTCCCCCAAAAAGTTTACTTATACTTATCTATTTTCTACCAGTTCACTAAGTTATTCATGCACTAGGTACATTGGTTCACGGTGAACTTTGGCCTGTGCACGAGAATAACATGATCGAAACGGATTGTCTCTACAAATCACTGCTACCTCGTCATTGTTTGCTGGATTAAGCATTATACTGTACAATGCTTCGCCGCTGTTGGAAAACTCCAAAGAGTGGGATACAAACAATGACGTGAAGTCTATTTTATGTTTTTATTAACAATGCCTGAACTTACATACCAACTATCTAAGGAATAATTCAATGCAGAAATATCGCCGATTACACATAGTCAGCCGGCTCGAAAAAATCCTGTCTGTTATCTTGTGTCCTATTAGAACACAAGGGTATTTCGGTACGTGCCATTGCAAAGTGATAATCCAACATAGTAAATAACGGTAGTGGTTGCTGGTAAGCTTTCAATACTCGGGCACACATGAGCAATAGCTATCAAGTGCTAACAATTAATAGACTTTTGTTTTTGTTGGATTTTAGCGGTCGATCGTGTGGTACGATTTCGGAGTGAACAAGAAAATGACCACTTCCGTTTATTGGACCATGATGGAGACTTTCTACTTATCGGCGCCAAGTAAGTCCTACCTTTCATCTAGGCAATAGAATATTATGGATAGTCACTAATGGACTGTGTTTTTTTTTATCAATGGCTGTCACAAGCTATTTCAGATATCGATACATCGTGCTAAACACAAATTTCTTAAGCAATCAATACAGGCTTAGTCAACCTATTTGGTTTTTGGGGGGAAGCAGTTCATTGCTTCAGTCCTAGGTGTTTCGTTATGTATTTTTCGAACTAGGTGAAAAATAGTGGTTTAAATAAAAAGAAAATAAACGTCTACCTGAACAGGGATCGTTGTGCAACCTCTTAATGGTTTCAGAAATATGGTTTACAATGTGTCGGCGGCCACGTTATCGGTTCGTCGTCGCCTTGAGTGGCGTCCGTCGGACTCCGATGTCAAGATGTGCATATTGAAAGGTAAAAGTGAGGCAGCCTGTCACAACTATATTCGGGTCATTGCCAAGAAGGCCCATGATCGTGTCCTCGTGTGCGGAACAAACGCATACAAACCTAGGTGCCGTGACTATGCGCTGTTACCTAGCGGGCCACCGCCGTCCGGATCTTCGGCGTCCGATCACAAGGGCAAAAATCAGCGTTCACCTGATAGAGAGTTCAGTCTGACCGACGAAAAGCCCGGCGAGGGTCTCTGTCCATATGACCCTAATCACAACTCGACGTTTACATTTGCCGGTACGAATATATGTACATATATATATGAGAAAGTAAATTGCTTCGGCCATGCATAAATCGGAACTGTAGGCAAAAGGTAGTACCATCTGTTAGTCAGACTGTTACTCTCAGAATCAGTTCTATGGCCGTATTTTATTATTGGTAATATGTCAATTTATAAGGCTTGTGCCGTGCGTCATATGATAACACTGCAATCAAGTTCGTAGATGTTATAGACGTAATGTCTGATGGTGATCGTTAGCAAATCAACTTCGTTATAATTGTTTGGCTGTCTAACGAACTTCGTTAATAACTTTTTCCCGCTGCCAACGGAATAGCGCCCTTGGGATATCGAACAGGTAAATGGGAAGGACTGAATACCGCACGATTTTCCGTCTGCTATTAAATTCAGTGCTGCTGCATGAGGCTCCGATGATGGCTACGAAAATAGCCAACGCGGTGCTTATGGATCCAAGTTCGAAAGAACGTTACGTACCAAATGCATGTAAAGTCACTTTGAATTAACCGATTTTCTGCTGAAGTTCGAACGGAAGTCGTCTGACGTTTTCATTATGCTGAGCTGCCGTTAAGCGGTGCTGTAGACAGGTTGGCGGCCAACGCAATGCGAGCCTTATCTAAAGCCAAGTTCTAACGTCGTTGATGAAATTATCTGTTTAAACAGAGGATACTTCATAAATATAGCGATATTTTCGTTCAACAAAGCGGTGCCCGTGTGGGAAGTATATACGCACAGGGAAACGTGTGGTTGACGGTAGTATGCATTACTGGTTAACTTATAATAATGAGTTAAAGATACTTGGAAAAGCTTCTTCGTTTTATAACTTGTTTTGCGAGGCGACTGCAGGTTGACTGACGAATGTGGAGAACGCATACTATATCTGGCAATAAGTACGCTTGTATGTGTGTCTGTTAGATTCTCAATATAAAAAAACCGAAATCGAACAAAAGTTGTATGTCACATTCTGGTTATCCGACAACCGTTTTTCTTTGACCTACAAATAATATAAATAGTCAATTTTGCAGGGGTGTGGGGGTGGTCAATAGAAATTGTTACAGTTCCTAGAAAATACCGGTTTAAAAAATGATCGCAAACTGTATGAGCGGAGCATGTGAGACTCGGACCCTGCACGATCTCTTTTCTTGTTATTGGATAGCCTCGTCTCTGTACGTAACGCTCGAAGCGCGAAATTGCTCGAGAGGTCTGCCTGTAGATTCCAATGTTGAATAGGTTTGACTATAGCCAACCACGTGTTTCAGGCTAACTGCGCCATATTTGTCCGAACGTTTACACACACTCTTTCAGATGGCGACCTTTATGCGGGCACAGTTGGACAATTTTCGGGTGCTGATCCGCTCATTTATCGCAAGCCATTGCGTACAGAACAATTTGATCTCAAGCATCTAAATGGTCAGTATAATATCGAAAATTGGACGCAAGTTGCATTGACTATAGTTTGGTACAATTGTACTTTGCACAGAACAGGAACGCGTTTACCGTATAGAACATTTGTACGCATTGCTCACACGCGTTTCGTTAGGGAGGCTCAGCCTACCGTAGGTACATTAAGGACCAACAATAACTTCATTCTCATTTTCCTGACGTTCACAGCGCCTCAGTTCGTCTCATCCATGCATCTTGGCGGCTTCGTGTACTTCTTCTTCCGGGAGAGCGCGGTCGAATATATCAACTGTGGCAAAGCCGTGTATTCGCGGGTGGCGCGCGTTTGCACAAATGATCAGGGGGGGCCGCACAAATTTAAGGAACGCTTCACGTCGTTCCTGAAGGCCCGTCTCAACTGTTCGATTCCCGGGGATATGCCATTTTACTTTAACGAGCTCCAGTCGACCAGTCCTATTGTGGAGGGTTCGTATCGCGGCGAGCGCGCTCGTCTCATCTACTCTGTGTTAACGACGGGTGCCAACTCCATCTCCGGTTCGGCTGTGTGCGCGTTTCGTCTCGACGATATCGACACCGCCTTCCATGGCTCGTTCAAGGGTCAAGAGGACAAAAACTCGAATTGGCTTCCAGTCATCAATTCGAAGGTGCCCGAACCACGACCTGGTCAGTGCGTCAACAATAGCAAATCCCTGCCCGATGTCACGCTGAACTTCATCACCAATCACCCGCTGATGGATCAAGCGGTACCGGCATATCTGGGCAGGCCGGTCGTCGTACACACCGGTTTCAGTTATCGCTATACATATATTGCGGTCGACCCTCAAGTCGAAGCTGTTAGTGGCAAGATGTACGATGTGCTGTTCATTGGCACCGATCACGGCCATGTTCTCAAGGTGATTAACATTGCCTCACTGACAGAGGCCGCAAGTGACAATAGTCATACGGCCGAACCGGTCATTGTTGAAGACGTCTACGTGTTTGGACGACCGGGGGATCCCGGACCATCATCGGGGTCGGGTGGATCTTCTTCGGCAGCTCATTCCGGCCCCGTGGCTGTTACCAACCTCGTCGTCCAGCGCTCGCCCTACGAGCAGAAACTTATTGTGGTGAGCAATAGTGAAATCCAGGGAGTGCCTCTGTTCCATTGCCAGCGTGCCCAGAATTGCGGTGACTGCGTCCGCCTGCAAGATCCCTACTGCGCGTGGAGTCTCGACGAGCGCAAGTGCACTCACAACTGGCGAAGGGACCGTCACTCCAGTGTTCAAAGCATTGAGCATGGCTGGGATGAGCGATGCGGAGCGAACTGTAAGTCGTCGTCGTCGTCGTCGTAATAACAGCTCTTGCAGTTGCTGTCAAAGAAAAATGTGTGCGAGCGTTTGTGGGTCGGTTGGGTTTCCATGGGTGATTTTTGAGGTTAAGCACTCGATTCGAGCGACATATTACACATATTTCGTTTATAAATTTATCACTGAAACAATGTATTTGGTCCTGGCCGAAAATGATTGTGTAACCAATTGTAGAGTACGCTTTTGTCGAATGTATTTTGCCTTGTTTTACATCTTTGTTATCTGTACCCTGTTCGTCTAGCGGGTTTATGGACTTTGCTATGCTCCTCATGCTGTTCCGATTTCTATATTTTGTTCTTCGTGACGTTATGCATGTGACCTGTAATCATGTCTATGTACGCATTATTCCCCAGCGGACGAAGCGTTAAAAGGTGATACATTTGAAGCAGTGTCCCACAATCGGCTTACGCTTCTGGATCCAACTGCGCGTTTTCAACTGCGTCTCATAGATCCATCGACGCACGATCCTAAATTAGCAGTTTCCGTCTCCTCTAATAGGAACATCTCCTTGGCTGCACTACCTTGTAAACCCTGTGACTACATCCTGAATCCTACCAATACCAGGGCCTCTTCAGTTTCGCATGCTACTATTAACGGTTCGCGATTCTCTTCCCTGTTGTCCTTAATCTTAACAGGAACGTTTGATTGCTTACACGATTTCCATTTTGATTCTATGATTCAGTTCACGTTTCTTTCTTATTTCTAGTTTTGTAAACATCTCTAGTATGTGACGTATGCTAGTTTTGAGGTTGGTGAGTTTCCTTTCGTAATTTAAACTTGACGCGTCAACCTTTTAAATCTGTCGTCAACTAATCCACGATCTACATGTACAAGTTAAGGTTGTAGGTTCGTATGAGCTGTCATTTACAAGCCAATTAACTTGCTTGAAATTGTTTACTTTGACGACATCCACTGGTCTGGTAGCGCGGCCTCATCCAAACTCCGGCGCTATCGTCGATGACCCAAGGTCGTCGTCTTCGCCTGATCTTCCTGGTCTTGACCATCACCCGGATGGGCCGAACGTCATTCCTGGGACATTTTTCACGTCTGCAAACGTATACTCTGTCGAAACGCTGGCCATAGCTATCACAACTTCGATAGTCACGTCTCTTGTAGTAGGCTTCATTAGCGGCTATATATTTGCCAGGAGGTGGAAAAACGACATAGACGTGGATTCCGGACCGGAGGACTACACGAGGTAATTCTCAAATTCTGCTGACAATATAATACTGTAATATACGCATAGATATTATTTGATTTTTCTAGTATTGAATCAACGTTTCGACGCACCTTTATTCACGGATGCGGAGTGAAAACTGCTCAGAGACTATCGGAACAAATAAAGCAAATAGAGGTATGCTAAACGATGCGCTTTATGTCTTTAATGTAGCTTCGAATATTGTGCAGGCAGATCTTATGTCATACAATATTAGTCACGCCACTGATATTTTCTCGTATACTTTTTTCCTATTAGGTATGTGGACATAAACCGTATGGGTGGATTAATGGGACCCGATCTTGGAGTCGGCTACGGTGGAGGTCATTATGAGCCAACTTACGCTCTCCCGCCCGGAATGAACGTCGGTGGTCCTCGGCCGATCAATCTCGTTCTCAATAAGAATGGAAAACCTACAAATCATTTATCAAATCATCCCTCCGCGAACCTTGCCAACAGCCCGATGGCAATGAACAACATAGGCACTCTAGACAACAACAAGACCACCACCCTTCAGAAGGTACGAAGGTTATTATAGCTGGTTAGGCATGGATCCTTTTTTCAAAGTTTCATTACTCTTTACGTGTGAGCAATAGGTATTGTGAGTGTAACGTAATAACCATTTATACGCCATAGGTCTAAGCAAATTAAGCAGTGAGAATAGATCTGCTAAGCTTAATCTTTGTGTGTCACAATAGCGGACGTTCAGACGTAGTAATTTTTTTGTACAGGTAAAATAATGATAATGCAGGAAACCAAATATGGACTCCCGGACATAAGCATTTAGCGAATATAGTACGTAGCATCAACTGACTAGAAACAAAGATGATTTACTGGCACATATATATAATATATGGCATTTGTTTCTTAAATGCCCGAGGAGACTCTTACGAGTTTGCTGACGTTTTGAATTGTATCACAAGCTTGCTTTAGGCCATTTCCAAGAGTATAGAACACAAGAACGCTAAGCCGAAGAAAGGTGTGAACTCATGAAGTCGAGCCGAGTATGTTCATTGCATCTTTTTATAGTCATGGTCTGGGAGTAATGATGGCTGCAATCGATGGGATCTTCGAGAATCCACTCGAGTATTTTACCGATTGTAAGTTAGCCTAATACTGCCAGTGAAAAGCAAAGCTACCCTGCGGGAAGAACGTGGTCGTACCTTGTAACTAGAGTTAAGAAGATATACGCAAAAGTTGTTGATAGAAGCCATTTGCGTCCTACGGAACGCACCTGTAACATTTTACTTAGCTCCGCTATTCGTTAACATTCAGTATTTTTTCTCGTAGAATGGAGCTTATTCATATACTTCGGGACTGAATTGGGAAACAAATGTTTGGGCGGTAGTTTTTGAATTAACAAACCAGGCTCTGCATATCATCAAAAAACGGTTCAGAAAATAAAAATCCACGATTGCACCGCGATCATGCTGTTACCCTCAAAAGTAAAACATCATTAAAACAAATGCTGAAAGTTTTTGTTATATTTTTCTGTTGTTCCCAAACGTTTATGCAATTTGATCAGGCAAAATTTTGTCTGCAATTTTTGAATCTCCATTGTAGGTAAAGAAGATCTACCTATAGCCAAGTGCTCCAGCCCCGCAGCCGCCGATGTCTCCAATTTACGCTGATCCCGACAACAATGATGAGAGGTTCGGCTAAAAAGTGAACTCTTACATCAGCTACCGACAAGAAAGCAACTGCTATGAATGTATGACTGGAGGCATGGAGTCGCCAAAAGGAAAATTAAGAATCTCGAAAAGCTCAAAGCGGCCGGGTGCGTTTCATGGGGCCTTGAGGTGTCTCATCGGTAGTGGTTCCACTGCCATCGACGAACTCCGCTTTCATCCTTCCAGCCCCTATTAAGCTCCAAAAATCTCGTCATATTATAGATTTGAAGAGGAAATTCCTATTGAAAGAAATAGGAGCGACTCTTCAATCTAACTGAAATGATTTTTTTCCTTGTTTTCTATGTTTTATGTCATCCGACTTTTGCTTCACGACTTCGGCAGAACCTGTGGCCGCCTTGTCGGATGAAGAAAGCTGATGTAATGAAAACAAAGGCGAGACATCCATAAGGGCGGGGCTGCTTGGTGAAACTTCTTTGCCCTCTGCAGTGGGTGCATGTAAATGGGCGCCGTGCGTGTAATCGAAACCCAAATGAACTTGCACCAAAAGTCACACGTCAAAAGTAAGAGATTAGCCAAATCGACGCGAAATGGTTCCTAGACCCACATCTAGATTAACCCACCCGTTGCTTATTTGCAGGCCTACAGCCATGCTCGCGAACAGAATAATGCTGTTATTTATTAATAGATAGCCATATATAACGCATACCTCCAGCCCAAACAAATGGCGTTCTTCTAAACGTTCGTTGTATTTCAGTTCTCCGACGACACATTTTGACGCCAATGAATCCAAGTTAGACAGAACGTGTAACAGTATTATTGTAACTATATGCTACAACTTCATGCCAAAACAGTGACATCAAACGAGTACCACTACCTTAATAACTTAGTGAACAACAGCGACAAGGGGATGCATGGAAAAGTTTGATGAATCTGCATGATATGACCGCGATCGGCAGAGATGATGGCGGGTGCTATTAATATGGGAAAAAAATCTGAAAGAGATAATGATAATAGTGCAGTGTGGCCTACGAGACGTTCTACCGAGCACGTACACGAAAAGCATACACATAAACATATATAGAAATATAAAAACCGCTAAGACAGGGAATATAAGCTATTGAATTACTATTAATTAGTAACTACGGGAAAATCGGTCGGCGCCTTCCCACCCACGACTGTTCAAGGTCTTCCCGCCTATTGTGCTGTCATTGGTTTTATAACAACGACTTGCCTAAAATGATAGAAGTGAATGAAATTAAAGCCGATGATAACACACACGAAAGATGAGCCAAAGCAATTAATCGATAGACATGGGCAGTGATCCCGTTTTAAAGTAATACGACTAATCTGAACATTATTGGAACTGTTTAATAATGAGAGAAGGTAGGCCACCGCTGTCATCACATCGTTGTGGTGGAACGCTGCCCCCTGATTCGCCATCTTGATCTGATACCAAAGACACAGCAAGCGTCCCGTCTTTGAATTAACGGGCGGCGGTAATTTCAAAAGTGTAATTAAACATCATGTGATGAGCCTTTTATTGACGAAAATGAGGGACGAAAATATTGATTCTCGATCACGATTCGTTGACTTTCGCCTGCTTGCGTCCGTTTAAAGGACACGTAACGCCTATGAGAATGTACAGTAATATAACGGGATTTAACTATATAGCCTTAGGGTAGTATATATTTGTGGTTCGTCAAGGCATTACCAATTGACAATACTTGTATTTGACGTGCGGATGGTAATCAATCAGGCGTTGCTTACTACGAAAGCGGGCATGTGGGAAAAATCCAAAAACCTCGATTGGTTCTTAGAATATTGTTTTCTCGATAGGCGGCATACATTTTAATAGTACCATAACCATTAGGCTTGGTGTTAACTTCTACCTAAATTCTTGCCGCAAAAAAATCTCGTAGACCCCCCTGAAAGGGAAACACTTACGAGTCACTGAAAGAGTGGCCACATAGTGTAATTGTATTGTTGCAGTATAATCAGCTGGACAGCCTCTTCAGGGTAGCTCGCTTGCTTAATCCGTGTTCTCGATGTGTTTCACCTGATAATCTGCGCAGAAACCTAATCTAGACCGTTCCTGTGCTCACTCCAGTTCTCTACAACATGTCAGAAAGCAGGCGTTTCTGTTCAGTCGCTCATATTTGCCTCTTATTGAGCATTTATTAAGAAGCCGTGTGAAAAACAAGAAACTCACTAATGTGAAGGGTTTTTGTGAGAATCCGCATGTAATACTGAGGGTAAATTTCCTGTCGCAGCATTCAACGTTAAGTCCCCACTTTCGTTGTTTCGCAACGAGCATGTCGGCGATGAGACGATCATCAAATGCCTCGTGTAATAAAAACTACCGACGAGATTCATTTATATGTAACAGTGCTTCATCATGTAAAAAGGACGATTTCACAGGGTGAATGGGTACTCACAACGAATGAGCTGACCAGCTAGAAGGGAGAGAAAGTGAGAGAGCGGAACGATATGAATAAGAGTCCGTAAGTAAATAAAAGTTAAAAGCTATCACAGATTTCCTTGAGACGAATGATAGTAATAACAATAATTATTATTGCCAATGATAACCCAGTGTACAATGTCCCTACACACGCTTACACCCCGATAAAAATATACCTATTGTATTCAATGGAGGAAAAGGGTAGAGCAGGAGCAATGCAACACGCTGTAGGAGACTCTATGCAACGCCAATAACTAGTCGCGATACAAAGAGAGTTATCAATATTATTGTAGATAAAGTATAATTAATGCTGAACAAAGAATAATTAGAAAAAGATTATACATGTAACAATACAATAGAAGGACAATAATATCAAATGTCTCTCCAAAGGTAGGGGAGACGCTGAAAGGAGGAGGAAAGTCAATTTAAAACATTTCAAGTTTATATGTAATTTTAGAGAAGCAATGAAAACAACATTAAGAGGAGATCATTTCTTCACTGGTTAAAAACATGCTTAGAAACCGGAACGACAGCTTATTGTTTACTCTGTAACTGCAAGTACTGATAATCTTTGGGCAAAAGAAATTTACAATGAGAGGTCCAACCAACAAGTTTCATTGTTTGCTTTGGTATTGTGGAGACATTGGGTTAAGTCGTCTTCTTCTTTTGCTTGGGCCGACACATGTTTGGGTTACTACACCGCCCCATTTAAAAAAAACCATTACAGTTGCCAGTGATGCGGTGAGGACCAATTTGATCTAACTGAATAATACACGAGAACCAACATTACGTTGTCGTTCTCATTATATATTATCTGGAGGCTGCAAGCCTTTTCTAGATGTTAAAGGCCGGAATACGTGTGTTTTTTATTTTTAGCTAGAACACATGTAGAATAGCATGTTGAATGTAAACACGCGACATGATTATGGTTTATTCTATTTGTAGCATTTGTTAAACTCTACAAACCTAGATCTAGGTGACTAGCAATTCAGTTGTTTACATTATTATTATTTGAAAATGAATCCTATTTTTGTCCCATGATTCAACGTATTTAGGCTAAATGCCTATTCTTTGAAATGGTCAGTTTCGACAACGCCATGCCTTCATGGACCCCACGCACCGTAACATACCAGCTTACCGAGTATGACAAGCTATAGCAAAATCAATTGAGAACGGTTAAACGTCTTTGAGTCGACCGACCATATATATATATATATGGCCATTGCATAATTTTACGTAATATATATTCTACGCAATGTGTTTAGCAACACGAGCTCGTGTTAACTTTGTGCTAGTTCGTCCATTCGTGACCTTGTACTGTATTTGAAGTTTTAACAATTCAAGTTTAGGTAGGATGCACACTTATTGCACACACAGAGCATAATGAGTTCCCTTAATAGAGTTTTGGTTCTGAATCGCGCCATCACCCGTTCGTTTTGTACGGCACACAGACATTTTGGATCATTTGTATATATGTCGACGGGAAATCATTGAGCTATTTATTCAATTCAACTGGAAGTATAGCCGATAAATTCACAGAAAAAAGCTTTGATCTATATGTGAATCGTATCATACATGTTTTTGGGAGACCTTCATTTCCACCTAACTGACATAGGCTGCGCATTTTGAACGTTCTGTTCTTTGGCCACTTTAAACTAGCCCCATAATTTTTTATCTGTATCATCTATAATAGTCCCAGGCCTTAAATGGATATAGGCACAATGGTAATGGAGCGAGAGATACCAAACGTGAGCGAACTTAAAAAAACAAGAGATTAAATAGAACTTTTAATATGGAGTCAATTGATTTATTAGCTGTGTAGACTGCTAGAGCGACGTCACTCATATGGACGAAGCAATAGTGCATTTCTAGAGATCCCCCATTAATAAATATATCCTGGTACATACATTACTTTTATTATTAGCGCAAATGTACAAAACATATAAATAAAATTTAACATAAATAACAGGGCAGGCCAGCACCCATCAACAACCAATGGATACATGTACACATCGAAGGCCACGTACACACAAACACATTGATAGAATCAAAATTAACAGAAGAACTACTACGAAGAAAAACGATAAACAGCACTATACAATACACGACGCGGCCTTTTGCGGCACACACGAAATGATATGTGATCATAACTATATGATATGGTGTAAGCCAACCAACGACGGGACGAGGCAAAGAACTATAATGTAAACGATATAAACAAAGGTAACGCAAATAATAACGTACGTACATATTGTATATATATATCGTACGATATCTGAACGTATTAGAGATCTCAAACACTAGCAGACGAAATGAGCGGGACGAAAAAAACATAATCGAACAGGGGCATACGGATTTAGGCACAAATACACTGAAAAACATAAAGACACACATTTTGTATAGAATAAAAGAGAATAGATATTGAAAACGATATAGAGATAGACCCGAGGTCTTGAGAGACATGAAATAGGAGCCAAGTGAAAAGTGGAAATAAATATGAAAAAATCAGTAAAAATACGATGAAGCAGAGAGACGTAAAATCGACTTGTCACAAAACGACGAAAGTTTAAGCCCAAAGAATATGTAAATAAATCAAGTGACCGACAGGTGTATGGCGGAAAATTAACAATTGTGTATTTTCTAATTGCACACATCTCTCTAACCAGCAGAAGTAGGTAAGTGAATCCTCGTTATATTTGCTTGTCGTGATTAGAAATTTATCTATCCTTTTATATAAACCTTACGTATTACGACTGTAAAATATCGTTGTTACTCGCCGCACGCTTTTGATGAAAGGATGAGAGGGAGGTGAAGTAGGGTAGGGTGAAGCAACTAGACCCTCAGAGTATTAGAATCGTCTATAACGGATCACAGACCTTTCTGTCAGTTTCATACAAGACAAAAATTAGAGATTCGCTATTATTGCCTCGCGTGCGGGACTTACAACATAAGGTCTTAAAAATTAAAATCAGCCCCATAGCACAAGCGTCTCATTGATATAATGGCAAAGGGATACATTCTGTGCATTTTTACAATATAATTAATAATAATAATAATAATAATAAATAAATAAAACGCGAAAATAACCATTTGTATCATGCATACACATTGCACGTAAACTAGCCTTGGCATACGCGTAGATGAAACAATGATCTGTGAGCTCATATTTTGGGTTAGCATCTGGCAGGATACGTTTTAGACTAGCAGTCAATGTCTAAAAGCGATGAGTGGTAGTCAAATATTTCCTGTGCTCTGTTAAGGGAAATTAGGTTTGTCCGCCTCGAACACGTACATAAGATAACTTTTAACTCACAAACTACATATGGAAATTTTGATACGAAAAGGTGCAGACAACCTTCCACTTAGGTTCGTTCATTTGCCCTGCCTACATATGATAACTTCTCTATAACGTAATAAAACCACTAAGCTATACGAACTACAGCCAATGTTCTAAACCGATAGCGAACACCGTACATACATTTATGTACTTAAATAAGCGATTAATTAGATGTGGTAACTCAAGTTATACGTATTCGCTTCTTAAGCGACCTTCCGAGCGCGCTAGTAATTCAATTTTTTAATATTTATAATAATGGGAAAGGATGCTTTAAAGTAATGTTTAGCTAATGCTAAACTCGCTTTGCGTTGCCAGTGTTCAGATGTACTGAAGTCTGATTCAGATATTCTAGTACTCTTACGTAGATTGGAATTGTCAAATGAACGCATTTCAAGACGGCCAACGAATTACAATTTCTACAAATTCAATTAAACCGAGCCGCCCAATAGTACTGGGAGGATAAAGAACAGCAACCCCTCTTATTGCATATGATTCAAGCAACTCCTCAACGTCCTACGATGTGGGTAACAGTTTGATGCGCGATAATTCGTCGTATTTCTTTTCAAATTTATTAGGTTTTTTCCTCCGTTGTTCATGGGGTTCTTCTCCCTTATTGACTCTCTCAAAACCCATTCCAACGACAACGGAAAAGCTACTGCAGTGTCCATGGTTCACAAAGCCATAAGCGGCATGCTACGGGCCACATTTTCTTGCCGATTATTTGGAGCTACACCCTGCCCGCTCGGCAAGTACTCAGTCACTTCCCTTCTGCAATTGAAGTGCTTCCACTGCCATGCTTTTAGCGACCACTCGAACTGCATAACGGATTATTCCCTAGTCCTGTTCTGCAGAAACGGGCCAGCGTCGACGGTCCTTGTCGACGACGGGTCGGAACCTCTTCCTCTTGGCCTGAATCGTTTCTCGAACAGGCTTAATCCAGGCCACCCATTCGACAGCCACTACTGATTCGTGCAGCCCACGCTATTTCCAGGCCAGTTTAGCTCGCAGCCTCGCCTTCAAAAACTCAACTTCCTTTTTAAGCTCGCAGCCGTCTTCAGTCCTTTCCCGGTGTTGCGACTCCGTTACGAAGGCCCTTATTCCACAGCCTTAGCTAAGCAGCAGCAGCACATACCGTCTCAACTTTACAACCAATTCCATCACCATCACCATCATCAGCTTTAACGCAATGCCGGCCTGAACACCTTGCGAGCCCTTAGTGATGGCTTGCGCCGGACAAGCTTGGCAGAGCCCGACTTCTCTTTAACCGTCAAGGCGAAATGGTTGGGGTACCAAAAGCGGAAGGCAGAACAACGAATGGCCGAAAGACTAAAGCACTGGAGGCAACTGAACGTTGCTGACGCTGCTGCTCGATCCAAAGCTCCGCACTGAAATTTGCCCCTGTTTCGGTCACTACTTAGCTATCGAAATCAAAATACCTACGCTTTGAATGCTTACGTGTCTGATGCGGTTCTTATTTCTGCAGATAAACGCAGAAGCGGCTCGCGGATTTCCGCCATTTTCATCTTTGTTCTGGTGAAACTGCGGGTCCTGTTACGCGTACAGGTGAACTTTTAAAAGGGGCTTAATGCGAGGGCACCGGGATATCTATTCAATTGAACTTACTCTTATTGAACGGTAATTCTTGCACGTCTATGAGGAGGAGACGGAAGAACATAGACGTGATGCTTCTGTTGAAAAATGCACTCAATTACTTTCTAATACGTTCCACTCCGACTGTCACTGTTGTTTCTACACAGCCGTTCAATGGATAACAGAAAGCTTTCCTCGTGCGCCATATCGTTTCGCCCCATTTGGGCTTGGGCTGCCAGTACGCGTACCTTGATGTCCTTCGCAAACATCCATGGAACTGTGAAAGAAAGGTGAATGTTGCTAACGGAAATAACGTAACACCAGTAAAGCAGAAAAAGACACAAGTTATTTCGTGTATTTTCTATGAATTTCACTTGTACCGACTTGAGCCTTCATGGGCTCTAACGCAGTTTAAAAAACGCAAGTATACTTAGAAAGGGCAGCACAAGTCAGGTAATAATACCTACACTATACTATTCCCTCATCGGTAGACAACCACAGTAAAGTACACTGGAGTTACTTTTTGAATGTCCTTTTGAACGCTTGTAATCAACGGTGAAACAACTTGCTTACTTATGGTCGTTTTACGGGATTCCCGAATCTGATCTAAACCCTGTTGGCTAAATCTTAGCCGATTTATCAATGCATATATATTTAATAAAAATGGCTTGAAGCTAAATATAACATGTTGTATTATTCAAACATCTTCGCAAGACTTTTCCAGCTTTCATTCGAATCAAAGTAAAAAATTATTGCAATATTGAGCAAGTTGAATCCTGAATAAGCATTTCGGACCCATCAACTACCACAAATCAACCGACAACAGATTATCAAACTCCTCAAGACTTTGATTCCCTATAAACATCATTTGCAGAATTCACCGCGGCGGGTCTCAACCAAACTGTTTGGTCAAATCAGGACTCTGAATACTACAAGCCGATCATTGTGCAGACGGATTTGGGTGGCCTATAAAAGCCAGTTGGCAAATAGCTTTGCTAGATAGCTTTCTTAGGTAACACGTGATTTTCTGTGGAAGTTGAGATTAGTGTTTTTGTGCTGTTGTATACGCTGGTTTCGCGTTCGACACACGGCCACGAAACCGTAAAGGGGGTTGAGTAATCGCTTAAGTTAGCTGTAGTTGATCAGTTAGAATAGGTGACAGTTCCATGCACGACAAGTTGATAGGTTCGAGGCAGCATGGCATAACTCGAAACTAAGAAACGGTGTAAATGGTACAACTGGTGTTTATAGGAGGGGGTTTAGGTAGTGGAATGAACTCAGCCAGCAAGATCGCTGTAGAGTAAAATTGGACCTGTTGGAAAAGCGGGTCACGGATTTTGTAATGGATGGGCCTAATAAGTGTGTACATTGGAGCTCTTTGGGGGTATGTGAGGGTTGGCCCCGAGACCTGCAGATCTGCGTCCCACAACGCCTCCTGAGGAGTGAATGCAGCAAAAGCGAGAACCTACAAGAGGGGCAATGAAGGGAACCTAGGAACGACGGTCACCAGGGCAAGTCTAACAGGCTAATGGGTTGAAGCCCATAGACCTGACTACTAGGCTGCAATGAGGTAAAAAGTCGAATCCCCTGACCACCGCTAAATGTAATGGCACTGGTCTGTGAAAGTGGGCTAAAAGCTAAGTCAAACGAACCAGAACCAATTGACATAGTTGAAGCTCGTCAAATTGACCAGCTTCAACTATGTCAGCAAAGTGACCTAACAAGCCCTGTGGCAAACAAAGATAACATTTTGACGTATCTAATCCGCATTTCAGAGTACGTTAAAATACTTGTAAAGCTTGAGTATTTCTTCTAAAAAATGAACGTTTTATTAAACTTACATGCCTTAGTAGCAAGTGGTTAGAAGGTGCTACATGCGTAAGCAATACGCTAGATAATGCAGAGTAGCGGTCTAGATGTTTATTGCAGCGATTATTCTTATTACTTTATACTTCATACGGTCATTTTTCCGTCCGTAACGTTTGCTCGTCGTCTCATGGTCTCACAAGCGAAAACTCTAAATAATATGCTATTCGTGGTGTGATCTTTCATTTCCGTTATAATTTTGTTTTTGTCGTAGACAGAAATTGGCCATGAGAGTGTCTGTTTTTCCAACACAGTCAGCGGAGTGCAGGGACGATACATGTTTGAAGAGAGCCCTACCTATATTTTTTTTATAAGTAATTGTAAGGATTAGGGAACCTTCAATGTAGAAATGATGCCATTGCTTTTCTTTTATCTCCGACAACGCAAACGGATAGACAGCAGTGAGAGAACTAGCATAAACAAAGATGCCAGTAGCTGTCTCTTTCAAAGGCTGAGTACTTTATAATCTTTTTAATAATACCTGTGTAAGGCTTTCTTTTCAAAAAAAATTTGCGTCTGAAGAATATATGGATCGAATATGTGAATCAGTGTTAGCTATCGTGTAATAGGCCTCTGTAGCTTAGCGTTTCCAGCTTTGTTTTACTTCTGGTCATTGATCTGCTGCTTAAAGATTAGGAGATCGCTGCTCACCCGGCGCGTTCTTACGCCGTGGTCGTTTTTGAGTAAATTGCTTGTACTGCCTCCGCTCTGGACAGCGCGAACTCATTACGATGATTTACTCTCAGCTCACGTTGTACCTTTACATGTGGTTATCATCCGTTGGTACTTTTACTTAACTAGGCCGTTAATTCGCCTTGC